AGTGTATGTTCGTTGGAATATATTCAAATAGTTTTTTTTAAGGTTCGATAAAATATGCAGCGTTTAGTAATACAGAAAATTTATTTTTAATTCGTTTGTAAATATATGAATTGATCGATGGGATTTTTCTGGAATTCATTTCCATATTTGGAATATTCCCTGACTGTATTATCATTCGATAAACTGTTATATTTTTTAAATATTATAATAATAATAATAATAGAGTTAATAATATATGATAATTATGATAATTTACTAATAAATCAATTTAGTTGTATCTCACTTTTACTCTCCATTCCCTTGTAACTACTGATGATGTGAGTGTAGCTTCATTTCACCTACTGAAACAAAGATTTACAATTAAAATTTCATGCAATTAAAAAACAATTCAGGATTCTTGCTATTAATTTTCTCATTGTTATTATTAGCCCTGTATTTTATGGATATCAATCCTTTCCATTTATCACAAATTAGCATAATGGACGTCCTATTTCTTAGAATTTCATATCTGAAATATCATATATACAAAAAAAATTTCTAAAAATTAAAGATAGAAATAATCATGGCCGATCAGAGATCACAAAAAAACATTAGGCTGTTTCATTTATTTTTACAGTGTGTGTTTCAAAAAAACCGGAAAAATTAAATCAATCGTTGTGGAACAACCACTGCATTGTATGAAAATGGCTCATTTGATAGATTAAAAGCAGAACCTTTTATTAATTATACTTTAATACAAAATGCTTTTGCTATTGGTTTTAATTATAAACCAACATCTTGATTTTTTGATTAAATTAATTAGAAATAAATCAGTAGTTAGATCTCTTTTTTTTTTTAATAATGAATTGTCCCAGACCTTGAAAACTTTGACTTTTATTCCATTATTTGATAACTTGTTACCAAATATTTTGAAGAAATGAAGAAAAAACCAGTAGATAAATTGTAGTCAGTCATATGATTTCAACTGTGAACCCATTTTCTCCAACCATTAACTCTTATATGAGCCAAATCACCTATTTCATTCAACTTATTAATATTGAAATAAATATTTGAGAATGAAATACTCGTAATATGATGTGTTTGGCAGGTAATAATGTAATTGCAAAAAACAAATAGTAAAATTCAACCCTATTATGCATTTTAAAAGCTAATTACTCGAAAACTAAACATCAGATTCAGTTAGAAAATGTAACAATTTACTTTGTAATCATATACAACGTCTTGTGTAGCACATCAATATTTACATCTGGAAACGTGACACATAATTAATCATTATTTGTAACATCAATTATTTCGTGTCTTTAATTACTATTTATTATTTACACTGCCTGGAAGAAAGTATCGGGACACACATTTTAATAATTACACAAAATTTTACATAACAATAAATTATAAAAATAATATCATTTTGTGGCTTAAGTATTTGCGAATGTGCTTATAAAATGTCATGTTTCTAGCCTTCATTTATATTTTTTAATTTTAAAAATACAAACTTCAATTAAAATCACTTGTATATTTTTTAATTTTACAATTTCTTAAAATTTTTCATATTAAAATTAAAAGAAATTTATATCAATATGTAGCTTAGGTTCTCAAGAATACTTATTTGAAATTTCATGACTTTACCATGGTTAGATATATTGTTATTTAAAATAAAGGATCTGTGCTAACATTGATGGATTAAAATTTTTTTGATCTAATTTTTTAAAAATGTCTAAAAATTCAGAATTGACTGAAACTGAACGAGGAAAAATATTAGGTCTTAGAATATGTGGTAGTAGTATTAGAAAGATTTCAAAAATACTTAAAATTTCAAAATCTACTGTTCACAAAAATATTCAACATTATGAGAATGCAGTGAGTCTAAAAAGCGCATCAAGAAGTGGCCGTCCAAGGGCATTAAAAGTTAATGATCAAAAAATCCTGAAAGAGATTGTGACAAAAAAAAATCATAGTTCTGCAGAAGAGATCCAAAAAGGTTTTGTTCAAGTAAGTGGCATTCAAGTATCAACAAAAACTATTCGAAAAAATTTGCATGAACTTGGAGTTTTTTCTAGAGTTGCTGCAATAAAGCCCTTATTAACAGAACAGCAAAGAGAAAATCGATTAAAGTGGTGTTTAGACAGAAGAGGTTGGACTGTGAGACAATGGAATAATGTCATCTGGAGTGATGAATCCCGTTTTAAAATTTTTAGGAGTGATGGACCATCTTGAGTTTGGAGGAAAAATGGCAAATGTTACAATATTGAGAATATCAGACTGTCTGTTAAACATGATGGTGGTAGAATAATGGTGTGGGGGTATTTTTCTGGAAAGGGATTAAGACCTCTAGTAAAAGTAGATGGACAGATGAATAATCAGGATTATATTGAAATTTTGGAAAATAATTTGATGCCATTAATTTCAACACAATTTCATAATAGAGGTTACAAATTTCAAGATGATAATGCACCAGTGCACACAGCAAATAATGTAATCATTTGGATGAGAGAAAAAAATATTGTGACATTACCTGATTGGCCATCCCAGTCTCCTGATTTCAATCCGATTGAACACCTTTGGGATGAGTTGGAAAAGAGATTGAAAAAACGTGAAATTTATCCCAAAAATGCTCAAGAATTGAAACTTGCTTTGCAAGAGGAATGGTCTGAAATTCCTCAAACAGTTTATCACAAATTGATTGAAAGCATGCCAAGGAGAATAGAGGAATGCATTGCTAATGGGTGGCCAACACGGTATTGATTTATTTTGTTTATGATCAACAGTAAAAATTTTTAAAAATTTAAATTTAATTGAAGTTCGTTTTTTTAAAATTAAAAAATATAAATGAAGGCCAAAAACATGAAATTTTATAAGCGCATTCACCAAAATCTAAGCTACGTTTTGATAAAAATTTTATGTATAATTATTATGTGAGTTTTTGTGTAATTATTAAAAACAGGTGTCCCGATACTTTCTTCCAGGCAGTGTATATTATACAAATTATTGGGTAACAAATGGAGGGCATCTACATATAAGAACAGGAACAAAACCATGTATACATGATAAAGAATCATCCCCATCTTTGATTTTTTTTTTTAGATTGATCAACAATGTTGCTTCTTCAGATGATATAAATGCAAAAAATAAATTATTAAATCTTTTAGTACAAGTTTTTAAAAATTTTAATACAGAAGTTTCTATCAAATCTATAGTACAAGATTTCACATCAACAGAATCCATAGTAGAAGAATCCTCCATATCTTCTAATAATTTGATAGTTCTTAGACCAACTTTATTTCTTTTAAGTGTAGCATTTAGAGTAAATAAAATATCTATAAATGAAAATTTACAATCAAATTAATTACAAACAGAATCATATATAAAATTTAGTAAATCTTTAGAAACATCTGTATGGAAATCACATACCCAACTCATAGAAAATAAAGAAACATTAGAGAACCTGCCACACTTGCTGAATTTTACAAAATAATGCCAGAAGATTTTAATGAACTTATTTTTTGGCTTATTTATGATCTAGAAGAAAAAAATATGATGCAATAAAAAGAAAAAGAAAACAATGCAAATCACCTCTGCCTGTGTTCAATGAATCTGATGTAATAAAGCTCACTACATTTTGGCATAGTAATATTAATATTTGCTTTTCCTAATGCTTTACACAAGTGATGTTGTCATTATGCCAGAAAC